TCCTCCTCCTCCTCCTCCTCCTCCTCCTCCTCTTCTTCTTCTTCTTCTTCTTCTTCTTCTTCTTCTTCTTCTTCTTCTTCTTCTTCTTCTTCTTCTTCTTCTTCTTCTTCTTCTTCTTCTTCTTCTTCTACCTCACCGGGTGTCTGTTGTGGGGAGGGGAAGGGAGAGGAGTTTGTAAGCCGCTCTGAGACTCTTTTGGGTAGTGAAGGGCAGGGTATGAATCCAGTCTCTTCTTCTTCTTCTTTTTCTACCACACAGGGTGTCTGTTGTGGGGAGGGGAAGGGAAAGGAGTTTGTAAGCCGCTCTGAGACTCCAAGTGAAGGGCCCTGGGGTATAAATCCAATCTCCTCTGCTTCTTCTTCTAAACAATTCATCAAGACGTTTAACACTATCCCGAACAAGGACATGGGATTCCTCAGTCTTCACTGGTGCTAATATCTTAGCATATCCCACGCCGTACAGATGTCACTTAATTCAGTTATTGCTCTATATACTTTCCTATTTTTCTAGCTTCCCAGTGCTGAAAGATCTGCACTGGCTGCCAATTTGTTTCTGGCCTCAATTCGAAGGGCTGGTTGTGACCTTTAAAGTCCCCAATGGCTTGGGGGCCTGCGTCCCTTAGAGACCCTCTCCCCTCCTCACCCACATCGTCCAGCCCACCCGTCAGGGTCTGCCTCTCAAGCCCTGCCCTCGGTGCCCTCAGGGCTGAGGTGGGGGTCAGCCAGGGACGGGGCCTTCTCAGGGGCGGCACCTCGCCTGTATGGAGCCCTTTCCCTGGAGGCTTGTGTGGTGCTGCCGGTGCCGTTTTCTTTTGCACACCAGACCCAAATGTCGCTGATCATCTAGCAGTGGTGGCGAACCTATGGCACGGGTACCAGAGGTGGCACTCAGAGCCCTCTCTGCGGGCACGCGTGCCATCGCCCCAGCCAGGCCCAGACCATCATTAAAGTGTCGAATTCTCTGCCAAATAATTTTAAGTCAATGAAAGCATTTGGGATTGCTTTCCTTACTTTGTTTGGATCATCTTAAGTTAATGTATGAGTTGTTTTTTCTAAAGCAAAACCTCAGTATTCAGGTTAGATTGCCGTGTTGGCACTTTGCGATAAATAAGTGGGTTTTGGGTCGCAGTTTGGGCACTCGGTCTCTGAAAGGTTCGCCATCAGGGCTGATTTCTTTTAACACTCTGCTAACACTGGAAACTATCGTTTAAGGCTGTCTGTGGTCTGTTTTATTATCTTTTTAATGCTGGGCTGGGGCTTTTTAAGGTTGGATTTTAATTAGCCTCTTCCAATAATTTTATTTATTTTTATTTATTTATCATTCGATTTCTAGGCCGCCCTCCCCGCAACAGAATCAGCCACCTTGGACGGGATCCTGGAGAGGAGGCATAACAATGTTCCAAATCTCCTTATCATGTTTCACTCTCTGCCCCCTTCCTAGGGTAGGTCTGATTTTATATTAATCCTATTTGGCCCGCCTGTCAACCGTCGGGAATAATCTCTACTCATTCTGATTTGCTCTTTTGACTGGATCTTGTCTTAAACCGTCTGTTCTTTTTGGCAGTACCACTGCCTGTCTTCTGTTGGCAGCTTCCGGTATAAGCGTGCTTGCCGGACGGAGGAACACTTCATGCATTCGAAGAAGTGTGCTCTGACGCACAGCAGTTTCTGCTAGAATAAACGGCCTTCGAGAGGTCCCTGGGCCCCATTTCTTGTGCTGTGAGAGATTAGGAGGACTGTCTACCTGGAGTGAGTGCTCTCAGGCCTTCCGCCTCATACCCAGCCCACCGGGCCTCACTCCCCCCCCCCCCACTTCCCCCAAATCCCTGCCCTAAGAGAGATGGGCTCAGAAAGTGGCCAATTGATGAAGAGAACAAAAGTCTGCATGGTCAAAGCAATGGCATTTCCAGTAGTCATGTATGGCTGCGAGAGTTGGACTGTAAGGAAGGCCGAGCGCCGAAGAATAGATGCTTTCCAATTAAGGTGCTGGAGAAGACTCTTGAGAGTCCCTTGGACTGCAAGAAGATCAAACCAGTCAATCCTAAAAGAAATCAACCCTGACTGTTCCCTGGAAGACCAGATAACGAAACTGAAGCTTAAATACTTTGGCCACCCAATGAGAAGGGAGCACTCACTGGAGAAGACCCTGATGCTGGGAAAGACTGAAGGTCAAAGAAGACGGGGACGGCAAAGGATGAGATGGTTGGACAGTGTCATAGATGCAACGAACATGAAGTTGAGCAAACTTCAGAGGACAGCGGAAGACAGGAGGGTCTGGTGTGATCTGGTCCATAGGGTCGCGAAGAGTCGGACTCGACTGTGCGGCTGAACAACAACAACATTTGTCCCTCCAAGGAGAAGCCTCTGAGCTCTCAACCTCAGAAAAAGCAGCTACTCTGCCCCAGGCGCAAGTGCGCACCCACGCACACACACACGCACTGCCTTTCCCAGACCTCCTCTGGTGACAGACAAAACGCAGGCGTCCCTGCCTCCCAGGCCCCTTAGCTGAGCCTGGGCACAGCTGGGTCCCATTAGCAAAGAGACAGGATGGGAGGCGTGTGGGTTGCCAGACACAATTCTTCCCACACACCCTCCCTTCTTTATCGCTCAGCCATCCACTAGCCAAGAAAGGGACCAAACCTTCAGGAAAGAAAACCAAGAGAAGCACCTCAACAGACCGGGGCTCAACGGCCGCAGTGGCAATGCCAGAGCACTACCCCAAAACATGTGATGTTGTTATTTTTTTTTTAAGTGTATCAGAACATGTGCAGAGCACACCCCAACACCTGCAGTTGCCCTCAGACACTTAGGGCTCATAGGGAACAGTTTCATGGTGACGCATGAGTTATAGGCACACAAGTCCTAGCTGTTCTGGGTCCAGAAATTAAGTGTCACGTTTGAGAAAGTGTATTTCCTCCCCCCCACCACCACCACCCCAAATAGCAAAAACAAAACTGATGTCAGCAGAAAAATTGCCCTCCAAGCAAAGACAGGACAGAGCAGCAGGTCCAGCTGCTAATGGCCATCCATGATTAACTGCAGGGTCCCTCCCGAGGGAGCCAGAACGGAAAGCCAGCCGGACACCTCCCCCCCGGCCCCCCCCCCTGCCATTTGCTCTCCCACCCTCACCTTTCAGAACTGCTGTTGCTGCCGGCCCGGCAGGGCTGCGTGAGGTTCACCTGCAAGGCTGGTGCCTGAAGCGGGGAGAGAAAGAGAACCGGGTCAGCCTCATTCAGAGGTGGCCAGCAGGGGCATTCAGAGGTGGCCAGCAGGGGAACTAATTCGAAGGAGGAGGAGGAGATTGGATTTCTACCCCGCCCTTCACTTGGAGTCTCAGAGCAGCTCACAAACTCCTTTCCCTTCCCCTCCCCACAACAGACACCCTGTGAGGTGGGTGGGGCTGAGAGAGCTCTTTCCAGGACTGTCCTTGAGAGAACAACTCTTGTCAGAACTGTGGCTTGCCCAAGGTCATCCAACAGCTGCAAGTGGAGGAGTGGGGAATCAAACCCGGTTCTCCCAGATTAGAGACCGCGCATTTAACCACTACACCAAATGGAAGGAGGGCAGGAGACCTGCTTTGGGATGTGCAGCAGCTGGGGGGATATGCACCCACCCCACATGCCCCCACCCCCAAAATGCCGCATCATGGTTTCTAGAAGCAACCACAGCCCTATGGGCACTTCCCCAACCTGGCCACCCAAGGCCACGAATGATCCATTGGCCACTTTCTGAGGCCATCCATTACGGTTGAGTGCCTCCTAGCCATCCCACCACCCCCACACACACGACACACACAAGCAGCAGCGGCTGTGTCCTCAGCTGACCTTGGTGTGGAGCTCCAGACCATGCGGAATTGCACAAGAGCACTGCTGAGTAAGACGCGGGCAAACAAGGCCCTCTTGTCTCTGCGGCTTCCTGCTACTGGGCGCGGGGGGGGGGGGGGCCTGCTAGGAAAGGGGGGGGGGGGGGGGGGCTGCTAGGAAAGGGGCCGGGCCCCACAGCAGATGGCAGGGGGGGCTCTCCAGCCTCTCAAACATTGCAAGGGGACTGGAGGCATAGTAGTCGAGGGGAACTGGGGTAGAGGGAAGGGCCCCAGTCCTCCTGCACTCACTCACACACCCACACCCCTCGAGTAAAGACCAGGCAGGCCTTTTTGGGGGGGGGGGGAAGGGGAGTCTAAATATAAAGCCACTCTGAGCGGGGTGGGGTTGTTGCAACAGGTACTGAGTAATGGACAGGCGCCAAATGACCTGTGGCATTACAACACCTGCTATACACCCAGCACAAGTTGGCACCGGTTGTCACAATCCTGTCAGGGCAGGGGGAGGGATACTGAAATACTCTTTCCATGTTCTGTTGGCAGCCCCTGCCAGAAACAAAGCTGCCTAAAATGGATGTGGAAACAGATCCCAAACAACCCTTTCTACACGGTTTTCAAAAACCGGAATCTTGGGTCTCCTTAAACCCATTTTTAAAAACTTCATTCTGAATCGTGGGTGCTACTGTGTTTAGAAAAACAATGCACATGCATGATAACGGTCTCTTAAAACAAACTGGACTCTAACTTTGTTCTACTGCTTCAGACAAACATGGCTGACCACCTGGAAGTCTCTTGAAAGTTTGCCAAAAAGTTTTGGAAATTAGTCTTGAGAATCTCATCATGCGTTTCAGGCTGCCCAGAATCCAGCAGATTTGGAGTGCATGTGAAATCTGGCTTCAGTCTTTATTTAGTCGTTGGCCACTCCTCGAAAGAGGTGCCCTCCTGAGAGAGCCAACAACCACACGCTGATAGGATATGGTGGTACAGAAACACAAAGGTCTTCTCCTAAAAGCAGAGGTGGGAAGGCGGGGGGGGGGATGAAAAACTTCAAGGGGGGAAGATACATTTTTCGTATTTTTCCTCCAAGGACTTGTTTTCAATTTTTCCAACAGAAAATTTGGAGAATACGGTGGTGGTGGTGGAGAATCATGGTTTAGAAGAAGTGAGGTGCTTCTTAAAGCAAGGTTTTTCACACTCAAAATGAATAGCATAAAAAGTCTAGAAGTCTTTTCCCCATTTTCTAGTGGAAAATTGGGAAATTTGGAGAGTACTGGGAGGGGGGGGAAATCATGGGTTTTTTTCTTTCTTGTTTTTGAGTGAAAAAATATCTTACAAAGCTTTTTCACTCTTTCTAAATATACAACATGCTAAGGAGATTTTGGGAATCATTAAATCATAACATATAAATCATTTTCAAGAATAATTTTGGCAACATTAAAATGCAATAATGTGTTTAATGATACAAGTGTCAGTGCTATAAAGTTTAGATTAAGTATCCAGGCATGCTGGCACTCTGTCCAAAGAACATCCTTCAACTTCTCTTTTTCCCGATAGCTGCCGAAAATTAAAGATACACGTACCATAGGTTGCAGCAGGGCTTTTTTTGTAGAAAAAGCCCAGCAGGAACTCATTAGCATAATAGGCCATAGCCAACAGCAGGAACTCATTAGCGTGCCCCACGGCTGTGGGGAGCCCGGGCAAGCCGGCCCTTGGACAGACTGGGGAAGGTATGGGGAGGCATTTAAAAGCCTCCCCGATCCTTCCAGGGGGGGCCCTGGCCCACCCACCTCGGAGTCGCGGAGGTGTGTGTCGCTGTCCAGGCCTTCCCTCTGTAGCCACGGACGTAGAGATTTTGGCTGTAGTGGGCGTGGCCAACTCTGAAGCCAGCCGGAACTCAGTTCCTGTGTGTTCCTGCCCAAAAATAGCCCTGGTCTGCAGCAGTTGCAACTCCTCCCCTTGCAAATCTATCTTAAAGATAATTTATACTTTTAAATTCCATAACTATGCCAAATAGTACAATTTTATAAGCACATATTTCAACATGCCTCCAGATTTTTCTGTTTCTCAAAAACAACAGCAACAGCAGAAAGAAAGAGGGGGGGGGGAGAAAGAACAAAGATGGGGGAGGGTCCCCGTGGCTTTAAACTTTCCAGAAATTCTACATCTCTGGCTGAGGGGCTAACTTGCCACAGATGACTCAGTGCCGCTCCGATAGGCAAGGAGTCCAGGGCTTAAACTGAGCTGGGTCAACTGAGCTGAGTCCCACAATCGGTTCTGGATGCCAGGACACCATCCCAGGGTGTAGGAAGAACATTCTTTCCTCACAAACCCACAACCCTCATCAAGTCCTGGCCGCATCTCAGCTTGATGTGAAAGGTCTCATTTCCAGGCCAGGCAAAGCCCTGCCAGTTTTGAAATCAAGTACTGGGGGCGGGGGATGATCCATGGGGTCGCGAAGAGTCGGACTCGACTGTGCGACTGAACAACAACAACAACAACTGGGGGCGGGGGGGGGGAGGCGGCAAGGGCCACGCCACAAGCAGGGTCCGAGCAGACGAGAACCTTTGCCACAAGCTAAGTGGTGGGCACCTCTCCGGCCCGTGTGCTGGCGGCAATGTTGCACTGGCCGAGGGCAACCACTGGCCACACACAGAGGAAGAACACCGCAGGCGGAGGAGCAGCGGAAGCAGGGCCAGGCAGCCACATGATCCGTGCAGTTGGACGGAAGATGCTGGAGAGCTTCCTCTTGGCCTCTCGGGACATGCTCCCCCTTCTCCTGCCAGTCCTCAGCCCCACAGCGGTCGGAGGGGCAGAGCGTCCACTTGGCACACAGAAGGCCCCCAGCATCTCCAGCTGAAAGGATTACCGTATGTTGGAGGTGACGTGAGAGGCCTCAGCCCCTGAGGGACTGAGGGCCTGACTGAGTAGAAGACAGCTTAAGAACATAAGAACATAAGAGAAGCCAATGTTGGATCAGGCCAAAGGCCCATCCAGTCCAACACTCTGTGTCACACAGTGGCCAGAAATACCAGTGCCATCAGGAGGTCCACCAGTGGGGCCAAGACATTAGAAACCATCCCACTGTTGACACCCCCCCCCCAAGCACCAAGATGACAGAGCATCACTTGCTCCAGAGTCCCTATCTATACCTTGTGGCTCATAGCCACTGATGGACCTCCGCTCCATATGCTTATCTAATTCCCTCTTGAAGTCGTCCATGCTTGTAGCCGCCACCACTTCCTGTGGCAGTGAATTCCAAGTGTTAATCACTCTTTGGGTGAAGAAGTACTTCCTTTTATCCGTTCTAACCCGACCACTCAGCAATTTCATGGAGTGCCCACGAGTTCTTGTATTGTGAGAAAGGGAGAAAAGTACCTCTTTCTCTACCTGCTCTTTCCCATGCATAATCTTATAAACCTCAATCATGTCACCCCTCAGTCGTCGTTTCTCCAAGCTAAAGAGCCCTAAGCGCCTTAACCTTTCCTCATAGGGAAAGTGTTCCAACCCTTTTATCATTCGAGTTGCCCTTTTCTGCACTTTTTCCAAAGCTATAATATCCTTTTTAAGGTGTGGTGACCAGAATTGCACACAGTATTCCAGATGAGGTCGCACCATTGATTTATATAGCGGCATTATGATATTGGCTGATCTGTTTACAATACCCTTCCTAATAATCCCCAGCATAGCATTGGCCTTCTTTATTGCAGTCACACACTGTCTCGACATTTTCAGTGAGTTATCTACTACAACTCCAAGATCTCTCTCTTGATCAGTCTCTGCCAGTTCAGACCCCATCAACGTGTATTTATAGTTAGGATTTTTGGCTCCAATGTGCATCACCTTGCACTTGGCCACATTGAACCCCATTTGCCATGTTGACGCCCACTCGCCCATCCTTGACAGATCCCCTTGGAGTGCCTCACAATCCTCACTGGTTTTCACCACCCTGAACAACTTTGTATCATCTGCAAATTTAGCCACTTCACTGCTTACTCCCATCTCCAAATCATTAATGAACAAGTTAAAAAGCAGTGGACCAAGTACTGATCCCTGCGGTACCCCACTGCTTACCACCCTCCACTGAGAAAATTGCCCATTTATACTCACTCTCTGTTTTCTATTAATTAGCCAGTTTTTGATCCATAAAAGGACTTGTCCTTCTATCCCATGATTTTTGAGCTTACTTAGGAGCCTTTGATGAGGAACTTTATCAAAAGCTTTCTGGAAGTCAAGGTAAATAATATCTATTGGATCCCCCTTGTCCACATGTTTGTTCACCCCCTCAAAGAACACTAATAGGTTAGTGAGACAAGATCTTCCCTTACAGAACCCATGTTGAGTCTGCCTCAATAGGTTTTGTTCATCTATGTGCCTACTAATTCTTTCCTTAATAATGGTTTCCACCAATTTACCCGGTATCGACGTC